ATAATATGAGGTCAAACTTAACAACACTTTCAATTGTATCCAATTAAGCAGGCCCTTGCACTACATAGTTGAAGTTAAATCTAAAGGAAATTGGGGGCAGAAAATTGTATCGTGTATGGCCAGCCTTAGGCTCCATTCACACCTATGCAGTTTGCTTTTTGTCCATTTTGCAGTGCCTTTCGTAGTTCGTTTTTTGTTTTTCTCCACTCATTTTTGATGCATTTTTTAAGTGTTTTTACTGTGTTTTGTTCAGTTTCTTTTTTTTTCTTAACCACTTCCAGACCGGACACTTTTACCCCTTTCCTGACCAGGGCAATTTTCAATTTTCAGCGCTATCACACTTTGAATGACAATTGCGCGGTCATGCCACACTGTACCCAAATGAATTTTTTACCATTTTTTTGAGACAGATAAAGCTTTATTTTGGTGGTATTTATTCACTGCTGGGATTTTTATTTTTTTTGCTATGTAAAAGATAAAGTTCAAAAATTTTGAAAAAAAGTGTTTTTTTTTTTAAAATTTTGCAAATAAATAATATTTCATCATAAATCTTGGCCAAAATTTATTCCGTTATCTTCTTTGTCAAAAAAAAAAAAAAATCCAAATTAGTTTATAACCAAAAATTATAATTTTTAAATATTTTTTTTTACATTTTTATTTTATTTTTTTAGATTATTATTTTTTATATTTTTTCTACATACTGTCACCCTAGCAGTAGAGTGTCATCATGGTGACACTGTACTACTTGTGGGGGGTGATGAAGATTTTTTTTTTTTTCTACACTGATTGCTTTTACACCCATATAGGATGTAAAAGCAATCATTTCTCTTTCTCTCTGTCTGCATTCTTGCAGTCATTGAGAAATACAGAGTGAGCTGTGATTAGCCACAGCTTGTCACATGGTACAAGGCTGTTGTGAATAGGCTTGTACCATGTGACCTCTGTGATCATTCACAGATTTCACACGTAGTAAGCAATGATGTCACAAGTGACATCTTGCTTGCTACTTTGCATGTGATCACTGATTGGCCAATCAGTGATCACATGATCGGGACCTCGCACAGAAGTCCCGTCCGACGATCGGTGTTTCACTGTGTCCGGAGGACACCGCGGGCACCGGATCGCGGTGCTGCGCGCTCCCAGGGAGCGCGCACAAGCAGGGTGCGGGGAGGCCGTTTATAAATGGCACCCGACCCTACACTGCCACCGCCTGACCGTGTATATACAACGGCGGTCGGGAAGTGGTTAAAGTGGATTTTTTTTTTTTTGCTGGGCAGAATAAAAATGCAAAATGCATAATGCAGTAAAAACGCACTACCATGCTTTTCAGCAGATTCTCCATTGTGAACATGTACCATAGGAAACCATGATAAATGGACTGTAGTGTGTTTCTGTAAAAAGCACTAAAAAACGCATTGATGTGAATGGAGCCTTAGGCCCACCTATGGTCCTGTACATAAATGTGTGCAGAATGATGGAAGCAAGGCAAAATATTTTTATTGTTTTAGAATATACAAGATAGCTGCTGAAATGTAGACGTCATTTTAATAACTTGTACATTATTGCGTAGGCAGTTTTTTTTTTTATTTTTTTAAATGGAAGCTTCCTTTAAATCCCAAGCTAACTGTGTTATTATTTCTTCTCCTGTGAAGTATATAACTGGTTGCTGTATAGAGCAGGAATATGTATTAGACTTTGTCCTTGTTATTTCGAAGCTTGAAGAACATCAGCCTCAGTCTGTCGAATTGTATGTTCCTGTATTGTTTCCATTGTAAGCTATGCAACCTTCACTGCTTCCACCTTGAAGTGGAATATATTCAGGTTTTAACAAAAAAAGATATAAAGTAATAATTATGATGCTGTTGATAACAACAACAATAATAATAAAAATAATAGCCACAAAACCCTCAAATCACTAAACAAAAAATCATGGAACATATGCTAATTGCTTTGACCATAGGTGATAATTTTGGTGAGAGATGGGAAACCCAATACTCTAGTAGCAGAAATGGAAAGCAAATAAGGGAACAGTTTGCTAGCCTTAGAAGGTGAATTACAGGGCTGGTAGGTTTATGTCATCATAGCAGATAATGTAATTGGGGCTCTAAAGTGAACTGAACTTAAAAAGGTGAAGATTTGCTATGTTATGACGAATATTGAGAAATGTTAATTGAGCCTTAGCAGTACTCTAAAAAAATGTACCATTTGTTCTGGTGTCCTTCTGATAAACTGCAGTTGGCTTTCAGGTATGGAAGTGTGCCTAGGCATTCAGATGCCCGAAGCATTATAGTTGTATATCTATTGAGCCAATCTAGGGCACTGCTGCCTATGACAACTAGACTTACTGGATTTGAAGTAAGATATATTGATGTCACTACTTTTCTTCTCACTGTTCTCCTTGCTGGAGGCTCTGATTCCCTCTACCAAGGTGGCTACTTCCACACAGAGACAAGGTGCAGAACAAGGCATGGTAAGTCCGTAATGAGGAAGAGCCAGCTGTAGGAAGACCATAGGCTATATTGATGACTAAGCCGTTGCCCTCTGCCTGCCTTTTCAGCACCGATTCCACAGTTCAATCCTGTGTGAACTTCAAAAAAGGTTGCCTGTCAAGGGAGTGTTAGCTTTGGTGGGTTGTGTTGGGGTTTGAACTACAGAGAAGGTATGAGTGAGGGTTGTTATTAAGGTTACAGAAGGGATTAGTGTTAAAGTCATTGTAAAGGATAATCCAGCCCTGATCCACTTCTTCTGCAGTCCCCATCAGTGCTCTCGGCTCCTCCCCCTGCCGAGTGCCCCCATAGCAAGCAGCTTGCAATGGAGGCACTTGTGCAGGCTCGCTCCCGAGCCACGCTCTGTCTGTCTATTGACACACAATGCGAGGTTTGACCCGGCTTCCCCCCCCAGCTCTCTGCTCACTGTCTGTGACTGACAACAGCAGGAGCCAATGGTTCCTGCTGCTGTCTCTGCTGTCTCTGAGCCTAAGAGGTGGGAGAGAGCGGAGAGTGGCACTGCCCAGTAACTTAAACTAGCCAATACATTTACTTTCACAGATATATAGCATAAAAAATAAATAAGAGTAGGAATTGACAGCATCGTACATAACCTGATCAATTCAATCCTTTTCAGATCCTGATATTTAACAGTCCCCCAGTGCCCCCCCCCCCCCCCAAAAAAAAAAAAAGAAAATCATATTTTAAGAGTTCCTTCATGAAGGTGAACATAAAGACACACTGGGATTGATTAGGTAAATATAGATAGTAAATACTGTAAAGCATGCTGAAGAGTAGGGACAGATAATGGAAAGCAGAGCTTGAGCCATAAAAGTGAAGGCACACAGAGAGCTAGGACAGACAGACAGACAGAATAAAAATCATATTAAGCCAGGGACAGACAGACAGGCTTGTAAGAATGTACCCAGCCATCTTCAAGTCTCAACACTCTGTTAGGGGCTCACCACAATACGAGGCTGTCCAGGGGCCTATGGTTTCTACCAATGTAGACCGTACCATATGCTGCTTTGTGTACATATCTTGATTGAAAACCCTGTGCTACACCATCTTCCTGGTCCTATATAGTCCTGACCCATAAGTGGTTAGGAGTACCCACATCTCAGGGCCCTGAGTTTCTCCATAGACTAGGTTAAGGCTCCAACAGTCCAGCCTTACACCGAGGTCCCATGTCATTTGGGAGCCCAAATCACTTGGTGTGTGTTCCATAGAGGGGTCTGCTCTTCACCTGAGGGGTCTGGTCTGACCCCTGACCACCTCCACTCCAAACTCAACCAGGTTTTTCACTGTGTACCTTGCATCCAATACCCTGCCCATCAGTTCCTGTGTAGTGTATCATCAGTTGCACTTGTCCAGCTGCCTGACTGTGTTTTAGCCCACCTTACACACTTCCAGTCAAATGTAAGGCATCTTTTTTCTAAACAACACTCCAGCCAGAAACAAAGTCCAATTTCTTGACTTGAATAAAGACTGTAACAAGGTCTGGAAAAGCGCAATAGGACTTATGTTTTTTTTTTTCTTCAAACCTAAATGGACTTGGAAGCAGGTGGATTTAAAGTCCATTTGTATCTGCCTGCCCATAAACCTGCATGGAGTTTCCGATCAGGTCTATTCGAAAAAATGATAGGTGGACCTGATCGGAAAGCCCATGTGAAAGGGCCCAAAAGCAAAAGTGTCAACAGAAATTGATACTGACTTGCAGTGACACTGGTAATCACTGGGGAACAGGTGAAATCTCAACATTGCAGAGGAGCAGACTCTCCATTCCAGTACTGAACAAGCTCTGCTCTTCTCTCTAACGAAGATTACTTGACCACTATTGTACTCTTCCAGACCAAACATTGAAGGAAAGAAGTAAATAAGATTTAAGAACACATCTGTCATCTGAATGCTGTCAGATGGAAAAATATGCCATCTATAGGGCAGAGAAAAGCAAATGCTGTGCTATCTATTGCTATTAGGAATGAGCAAATTTGTGAGCTTTGGTTTTGCTGACATTTTCTTGAAAAGTTGGACATTTCTGTTAAATATTACCACCAAGGAAAATACATTGTCCGAGTCATGAGAGATGTGAAATCAAGGTGGTTTTAAAGAGGGAAATGGACTTTAAAGGATAAGTTCACCTTTTGGACAAAAATAATAAATGCACATTTTTTTTCCAGGTAAACAAATGCGCATTTATTAATTTTGTCCAAAGGAGCCTGGGAAGCATTGTACCAGAGACCAGTAGGTTGCTGATGCCATGCAGGTCTCCTGCAGACCTGTCAGTATATCTGCTGGCCGTACGGGATATATTGTCAAGCAGATATACTGAGAGGAAGCTTCAATGAACTACCACGGCACTTCACACTTGAAAACTACAAGCCCTCAGCCGCTAAGGTTGTTGGGACTTGTAGGCACTCATTCACAGAACACTGTCTGCAGGAGTGGCGTGGCCGTGTAGGAGGAGCCCCGAACGGCCACGTTGTTTTCAAATCTGACAGATAGAACGGGGGAACTTCTCCCCAAACTACTTGTCAGAGGGATGGGGGTGGCGGGGGTGGCTGGAGCTATAGGAACATGTTACATGTTCCACCCTAAAAACAGATGGAACATGTAACATGTTCCCAAAGGTGAACTTGTCCTTTAAATGACTCCTTTAAATGACTCAGGAAAGGAATATCCATGTGCACAGATGCCCAGGATTGAGGAACTCTGCCCGTGGCCGGATCGCGTGTGCACGTGCGCGAACGAATGTGTGGGTGTATGCGTAGATGGATGCACATACATGGATGGATGCACGTGCACATGCGCAAGCACGCATTGGTGCCAGGAAGGCTTCTAAACTGCACTAGTGCAGTGTATCAGTGTTGTTTGGTCTATTACGTTTCCTGAGTTCCTGTTATCACTTTCTGATTGATCTTCTGTTGCTGTTGATCTGACTCTGCTTGAATGCCGCCTATACTGACCCCTGACTTGTCTCTGGACTACGCTCTGCCTGCTCTTTCTGTTTCTGTTCCGTCCTGCTGTTTTTGACCTTGGCCTGTCTCCTGATTGCTCTCCTACCTGCCATCTGAAACTGTTCTGCCTGCCAGTTGCTGACCCGGAATGTCTGACCACATCTCACTGCCAACCTGTTCCTGCACCAGGCAGCAGTCTGCACCAGGGGTGGACTGACAACTCATGGCGCCCCTGGGCAATATGGGATCATGGGGCCCCTATGTCCTCGCCAACACTCAAACCACACCCAAAATAGCCAATGAAAGGTACCAGGGGCATCTTATGGGGCCCACTACTGACCCTGGGCCCTCGGGCAGTGCCCAAGTTTCCAAATGGTCAGTCCGCCCCTGGTCTGCACTCTTCCCTGGCTCCAGTCCTTCGGCCTGTGGGATCCAGTCCTGCCATCTCTGCATTCAGGCACTTACATATCAGGCACTCTGTGCTCTGGTGCTCCCTGCACTTTACCAGGGCTCCCAAGCCAGAGCTGTAAGAGAGGCCTTCCCCAGCACTTCAGGCTCCACCACCAGGTACGTTACAGAAGCTCATTTCTAATATCCTAGACCTATTTATTTGCTGAAAAATGCTGCCCCCAACCATAACAGTAACCTGAACCCTAGTTCTAACCCTAATAGTAATCCTAACCCAACTGTTAATCCTGACATTAATCACAATGGTTTATCTAATGCTAGAGTTAAAACCTACCTAAACCCAAAAACGAAAATGTTATATATTGCAGCTATGCAGTCCTTAGGTGAGTTGCATATATTTGGGTTTTTTTTTTTAGTTTTTTTTCCCTTTATTTCAATCTGGTAATTCTGCAAGCCACACACTTACTGTCTCTTGGTGGCTATGTTTAATTATCCTATGTATCTATGGAGGCAGTCATGGTTGTCACTTAGGCTGGACTTGAAATGTATTTGTCTTTAGATTAGATGAGGATTTATGAAATTGGTAGTTTAAAGAAGCAAGATAACATTACAATTTCTGTATGTTCAGCACACTGGAAGTGCCAAGGATAATCGGTATTTTCTGTTCTTGATAATGTTACAGGATTATCGGTGATCTGAGTGCGAGGTATGACAAAGATGCAGCCTGCAGTATCTGTATCAAAAAAAGAAAAACAGAAAACACATGTTAATCACTTGCTCAATCTGAGTTTATTGTGACAAACAGAAATGAATCACATTATACAGATAATTACTTTCTTTATAGTGGCAGTGCAGGCCACATGGAAAAGCAAATCAATTTGTGTAAGAGAGTTACCATTAGTAAAATATAGGATACTAAACAGAGAAAGTGAATGACAGAACAAACACAAAAGTGTGCAAAGATAGCATAAGCCAAGTGTGACTAACCTGTATCAAAAAGGAGAACAGAAAACACATGTTGCTCACTTGCTTTTTCCGAGTTTAATGTGAGCTTGTTGGTATTAGTCTCCTGAAGTTACACTACAAATCATTAGAGCTCACTCTAGCTGCAACCTAGTAATAGCATTGCTGGGAAGTTTAGCCATTTACTTGCTACACTGAAAATGTTCTTAGCTTTTTATTAAAACAAAACAAAACTAATGCAGCCAGCATATAAAGACTGGTAATCTATAATACACTATATTGCCAAAAGTATTGGGATGCCTGCCTTTACATGCACATGAACTTTAATGGCATTCCAGTCTTAGTCCGTAGGGTGCAATATTGAGTTGGCCCACCCTTTGCAGCTATAACAGCTTCAACTCTTCTGGGAAGGCTGTCCACAAGGTTTAGGAATGTGTCTATGGGAATGTTTGACCATTCTTCCAGAAGCACATTTGTGAGGTCAGGCACTGATGTCGGACGAGAAGGCCTGGCTCGCAGTCTCTGCTCTAATTCATCCCAAAGGTGTTCTATGGGGTTGAGGTCAGGACTCTGTGCAGGCCAGTCAAGTTCCTCCACTCCAAACTCACTCATCCTTGTCTATATGGACCTTGCTTTCTGCACTGATGTGCAGTCATGTTGGAACAGGAAGGGGTCATCCCCAAACTGTTCCCACAAAGTTGGGAGCATGCAATTGTCCAAAATGTCCAAAAGGGCCAAACCCAACCCCAACCCCTGATAAACAACCCCACACCATAATCCCCCTCCACCAAACTTTACACTTGGCACAATGCAGTCAGGCAAATACCGTTTTCCTGGCAACCGTCAAACTCCTCAGATGCGTCCATCGGATTACCAGACAGGGAAGCATGATTCGTCACTCCAGAGAACACATCTCCACTACACTAGAGTCCAGTGGCAATGTGCTTTACACCACTGCAACCGATGCTTTGCATTGCACTTGGTTATGTAAGGCTTGGTCATGGAAACCCATTCCATGAAGCTCTCTATGCATTGTTGTGCTAATTTGAAGGCTACAAGAAGTTTGGAGGTATTTAACTAATGACTCTGCAGACAGTTGGCAACTTCTGCACACTGTGCACATCAGCATGCGCTGACCCCGTTCTGTCATTTTATGTGGCCTACCACTTCTTGGCTGAGTTGCTGTTGTTCCCAGTTTCTTCCACTTTGTTATAATACCACTAACAGTTGACCGTGGAAAATTTAGTAGCAAGGACATTTCACGGATGGACACACAGGTTGCAATCTATTACAGTACCACGCTTGAATTCACTCAGGTCCTGAGAGCGACCCTCATTCTTTCACAAATGTTTGCAGAAGCAGTCTGCATTCCTAGGTACTTGATTTTATACACCTGTATCCATGGAGGTGATTGAACACCTGAATCCAGTGATTTGGAGGGGTGTCCCAAAACTTTTGGCAATATAGTGTATATTACATTTTTCATGTTGGACTAAACTGGTCACTATTCCTTAATTGTAAGCTCTGGGACTGAGGAGGAGGTACTGAAAATGCACTTGTTCTTCTTGACATGGCAGGATCAGGGAGGTCACATCATAATTGTTGAACATTTTCAAAAGCTTGTTGTTACTGTTAGATGTGGCTTTTAAACTGACCTTGTGACATCAGAATTTTCCTGCTCAGAAGAATTTGCCAGGTGATTGTTTGCTGACTTTGAACTACTCATTAGTTTCCTTGAGAGTTTAGTCAGTTCCTTGTGACAGCAGGAGGAAACACACATATAAAATCAAATCTGTTCTCAGCACCTGATTCTCTTTAAAATAGTTGCTGATGGCATTTTATGAGCTGTTAGACCTGTTTAGTAGCTTACGTGCCACCATTCGCTGAATATTTAGTGTACTCAGGGCTTTTTTTCTCAGAGAATTGGTGCAGGTACCCCCCCCCACTTCCGAGTAACCCCTTGTCTCCATCCCCTACCCACCTTCAAGCAAGATCCTTTGTACCCAGCAATAATAGACCCTCCAGCAACAATATACCCCCCACAGCAACAATAGATCCCCACCAGCAGCAATTTACCACCAGCAACAATAGATCCCCCAGCAACAATAGACCTCCAGCAACAATAGCCAACCTCCAGCAACAATAGACCCCCCCAGCACCAATTGATCCCCCCAGCAAAAATAGATTCCGTTGGGCAACAATGAATTCCACCTATCAGCAATACATCCCCCAGCAGCAACACTAGACCCCCTGTGTAATAATACAGTAGATCTTCCAGCAGACAGCTACAATAGACCGCTCCCTCAACAGCAGTTCCCTCCCAGCAACTATTGACCCCATGCAACATACGATCCCTCCAGCAAAAATAGATCCCCCACTGGCAACAATAGACATCTCCAGCAACAAATGAATCCCCAGTTACAAAAGATCCCCCAGCAGTCAGCATCAATAGACTATTCATCACCCCCCGTTCAGTGCTGGAGGTGATAGAACTGCGTCCCCCCGCGTTCCCACTAAAAAAAAACCTTGAGTGTACATAAAACTGAACCCAAGTGTAGCACAACCCCCTCAGGGATCACTGAGTAATTTTTGGGTTCCCTGTCTTGTCTGACCCCTCTCTAAAACCCCAACCCCTGCTGACACCACCGTAAAATAGACTCACACACAGTTTAGAGTAAACTGACGGTTTTGATTATATTGAGTTTAAATGAGAGCACATAAAGAAAAAACATGTGCATGTAATAGGGGCTATCACTCTTAGCAACTTCAGGTAAAGTCAACATACAGCAAAATCTTAATCAATTTCAGATGTCCTGCAATTCAGAATTTGACCAGTAGGCTCATCCCCGAGATGTTACTTCCCTTAGTGAGCAAAGAAACTACCAGTGTGGCTAACTCACTTTTGGCTCTCAGAGGCTGATGGTAAAGTTCAATTCTGAGTCAAGATCGAGCTCTTAGATTTTATACAAGGTTAGTGTCCCTTTAAATTGCAGTATAAAGTTTTCTGCACACTTGGTGGGGCCCAAGTTGGTGCACTTTAAGGATTCTAATCTCTTTTAGGGCAAAGGTGGAAGATCCTTAATAAAGGGTGAACACAATGGAAACAGCACTGCCCTTGTAACACATAGGGTGAGATGTGAATTTAAGCGGGAGATTCAAGGAATGGGTAGCAGCACGTTGTTCTAGAGATTAATTCTTCTCTGGATCACAGTGGCAAACTGCAGCAATGAAGGGGGTTC